GACCCCCCCCCCCCCGCAGTGGCCACCGGCAAGCACGAATCGGTAATTTCATTCAATTCACATGCTTCTTGTCCAAACACGATTCTACAGCTCGTGGATCATTCTTCCAACCATACGTCGACTGTAATGATCCATCTGTCAAGCATATCATTCTGATGTGTGGGCGACGGTAGGGAAGAGCTGGTCATTTAGAGTATTGCCACTTAGAGGACCTCGCGCGCCTTACCTTCATGTTCTCTCGGAACGGACGGCGAAGGTCACGTAGAACAGTGCTATTGAACTGGGACCTATTCTAAGAAACTCTCGCAAGTTCATCGTGGTCGTGAGTCAGGCCTACTAAGTCCTTCCGACCTTGTGTGTTGCGATTCTTTACACCCACTGACCTGTAGGAGCAGAAAATTGAAGAGCTCTGTGCCCCCAATCTTTCCCATTCAGTCTTACCATATATTGTTTCTTTGACTTTTTTTTTGGAAGTGACGGATGCTGCGCTTATGAGGTCCGCAGTGGTACGACAGATTCGGAAATGTCTTATGGTATAGGGCCTGTGCTGTGATTTAGAATTCACATGTTTATAGGCTTTGTGTGGCATGTCTCGCATCAAATACTCTTCACTTCCTTTCGGCTGCAATCGGTGCTATATATTATATGACACTGCTTCACTTCTACCGTTCCTCACTACCTGAACTCCCTATGTTCGACCTTGGTGCCGATCTAGGCAGCTCCCTTGGCTGCGTGTTCTCCGCAATCATTTTCGCTACGCTGTGCGTATCGCGATTCGCCGTAGCGCTACTGTATTTGGAATTCTGATCCTATGTATCGCAAAGGTTCTATGGCTTTACGTGCGCGCAGGTTCTATACTACAAGTGGTCGTATCCTGAAGACAGGGCAAGCCTCAAGTTTATGGCAAGTAACAATATATCTCATCCCTTGATTTGTGTGCAATTATGTTTCGTTTTACATTCCCACTAGGTAATTCTCATATGGTTCGTCAAACACTTGGAGTGTGTCCCCCTGACATTGAAAGTCATTTTTGGTAAGGTCTCTTGATACAACAACGATAGTCTTAGCGCTTCATGTAACCGAATCTTTCTCGGAGATTCCAAATCAGCTACTGATTTTTGAGAATGTTTCAGTCCCTGTGGATCTACGTTATTGGTGCACACCGAGATGTTCCTAGGTTATCCAAGTTGTTTTTGTGAGTTGCAGCAAGCACTTTTGTTGATTATTTCAGAGATGCAACGGTCAATTGGTAGCTCGATCGTGGTCAGTTCACGCTGCTGTATTCCAAAGGTTCTAACGCGTTTCTTATATTCAACGTTGAGTCTAGGTTGAATTTGTAATGTCCGTGAGTTGTATTTGAAAGTGATTCAGGAGTACAGATGTTGCTCATGCGAAGACCAGGCAACAGTGATACTCATCACGCAGGTGTCAGTATTGTTACAGATTGGACCCTTGTCTTTCGTTGTAACTGTAATTCAAAACCAGATATTACATCATCATCATAAGGCAATGTACAGACGTTTCTTCAACGTGGTTGAACCAAGAGCTCACAATTTTTAAGTACTCAAAAACCTACCATCGAGACTTGGAAATGCGAATATCCATTTTCCGCTGATAGTTAGCATGGTATGTAGCTCTGGTTTGGACATGAATGGACTCCCTATTTATTATACTCCCCGAGAACAGCTTATGTTGGCTTTGATGTCGTATGGTATGTCCTTCATCCGTTACGAAAGCACGGTAAACTGATCATCCACATTCGAAGCCTGCTGCATCGGTTCGATTTAGCTCAGCTCACTGACTACTTTCTCTCATGAGTTTGTTCACTAGCAAGTATTAGTCTGGTGTAAGTCCATCTGCGATAGATCTTGTGTGGCAAGTGATTGATATGATGTACACTTGGCTGGACACAGTTCACCGAACCCAATCTTCCCTAGTGTCTTCACAAGAACAAGGGTGATGTAGAACTGTACCTAAGTCCTAGTACACGTTTGTTCTAAATAATCAACACACATAGGTCACAGGGACGATGCAGCCAGTCATCGCGTCCGTTTTGGATATTTATATTAGTGTGGTTCTCATTCGGATTCTTCGCAAGGAGGCTACTGGGTTCAAGGGGTGACTTAAACTGTCATGACTTCCTAGCTCACCAAATGGCTGAATTCTACACGCAGAACAGATCGGCTCATCCGAAGGCTGGTTATGTACACAGTTCATAGGGGGTTATCAACTACGTTTGTATCAGCCCTGAGGCTCAAGAACGTTCTTATTGACACTTATCGTTAGAGCTGTACAGATCACCACCGCCCTTCTTGTATGTGATTCAATATATCGCGTCATTCTTTCTCATTCAGAACCTCTGTAGTACCTCGTCTGCAAGCCGCAGTATTTGTATTGGACGATTTTCTACTATCCTTGTAGCAAGGGTATGGCTGTGCATTTTACCTCGTTCACATTCGCTGATGATTTGTGTCCTACAGTCCATGCAAATTCTGTTCTGATAATGTGAGCGTCAGATTTACACTAGCTCTAGCATGCTTCAGCTAATTCCGTATGCGCCATCAGGCTAAACAATCGGAAGCATATGCGCGACTTGAATAGCAACAGCTCGTGCCATTTAACAGACATCATATTACGGGCAATTCCGAGTGAGATTCCACGCGGAGACTCTGTCCCTCCCGGAGAGACCATGCGTGGAAGCTAGCGTGCATTCTGCGAGGACAGATTTATGGTGGGATTGATGCCCTTGACGAAAAACAGCATCTCCACGCGCTCTAATTTAAATCACGCGTAATCTTTCTCTCTTGATTATTTTCAAGTTATTGTCTGCGGGGGTTATCACGGTCCTCTACGTGGTCACCCATAGAACTATGCTATGTAGTAGTCAAATTCGAAACTGCAGTATGCGGACAAGTCCATTGGCTCGGCGTTGCGTGCATGCGGAGTCAGTGATGATTTATTATGCTACATCAAAACAGACAGCCTGGCGCGGCCCTACAGCCGACGGCGAGCGCGACTGTGACGTGACATCACGCCTCCTGTAGCTTTGTCGCCCCTTAGCCTAGGAGGCAAATTCGGCGGCTATCTCATCGGGTTCGCCATGTCGGACGCTCCTCCTAGACCACCCGTCCCTGTGTCAATTCAGAGGGTGAAGGCTCTGCTCCGACTGCCAATCCGCCTCTCCATTCAAGATGGTCGTATTTTTATAGGTACCTTCGCGGGAGTAGATAAGCAGCTCAATATCCTCTTGATCAACTCGGAGGAGTTTCGCATCGGAGCAGATTATGTCGATGGAAATCCGAACGGACGGTTTGTAGGACAGGTCATGGTGCCTTGGAGGTTGGTGGTGAAAGTTGAAGCGTCTGTGCCTCCTGAGAGTAGGAGCGCTGCTGCGATGGGTGATGGCGATGAGCTCTATGCTTGATTGTGTGTGTATGGCTTTTGTTGAGTCCCCTCATGACTGCTTCTCATGCATGCCTTAAGTATGGATTCCCCTTTCCTTAACAACCATATCTATACGGTACTTTATTCGCGTCGCGATCTTGGGGATGCTAGCAGGTCGTTGGGCATACCTAGAGCTTAGGGCCGACGTCGAAAGCTGGGATTTTGATCACTTCCCCCTCTAGTCTTATCCTCAATGACAAATAGTGAGTTGTTGTTGTAGATTCGTTGACCGTTCGGTCGATATCGCATCTTGCACTGCGTTCTCGTTGAGCTGAGTGCCTTGTTTTTTTAGACTCACTGTTACTACACAGTTGCATTACGACCATCTTCTTGCCGATAGACTGCTCCAGCGGGGCTGAGTGAACTCACGCTAGTTGGCTGCGGTATAGTAATGAGAGAAGGGTATGGAATATTTTGATGTACGATGTCGGCGTTGCATGCACAAAGATATTTCAACTGTTACTTGTAGTGCGGGAATTTTTGATGTGATATCCGGTCGTTCCAATTTTGTTACAACTTTGCATGTGTCTGCATGAAGCTGAGAGGGCATACACTATGAGAACGGGTTGTCAGGAACTAACGAAAAGTGTGTTTTGATTCGATGGGCATAGATCAGTTCAAAGATTCAGACTGATAAATGGGTAAATCTTGCGCTGGCTCATTTGTTTTTGAATTTTATAAAAGGAATCCTCGGATCTATACTCCAAGTCCATATCGATCTATACATGGATTTCGCACCGATTCGGATTGTATACGCTTCTGACTTGACTCGAGCCTGAGGTGGTATATCCAAGAAACAACCCACCGTTCCAATGTACGATAGCCTGTTACTATCCACGTACGCCCCTCCTTCGTCTTTTATCTATGATTCTCAGATGCATATGACGCTGTATAATCTGATCGACTTTCCTTGATGCCTTGCTAGTATAGCAAGTAGGTCCAGCTCCATTTCCAAAACCTACGTCTCCGTAGAGACAATGGTCTGTACCACCTGTCGCGCAAGGCTCTTCAATTTCAACTCGTTCCAGAAAGCGTGGGGAAAGAAGACCTCCTACAGAACGAGCTGGAAAGACATCCAAGGAGCGACTCAAAAAGGATGTGGGTGGTGCGACATAATTTTTGTCGAGGTGGAAACTGCTCTCAAGACCATGAAAGACGAGGACCAAACACAATTTCAAGGAACAAGAGATTCGATCGAGAGGATGGTGACGTTGATATGCGAAGAGGAAATTATCATCAATGTCTCGTTTCGAGACGTGCATGATGGCGACGGCGGACGGAGCCTCCTGATGCTTTCATATGATAGTGCCTACGACGACAGCGGGCTGTTTCTGTCCGCTATTCCAATCTCCACACCGTCAGGTATTCATTCTTCACTCCCATGAATCCGGAGCAGGCGTCTGACGTTGTACTTAGACGATAATGCTGCATCAGCGGTTGCCGTTAGACCACTGATATATCAGATGTCTTCAGCACATACCTTTCATCTCGCACATTCTACCCTCCATGATTGCATGCTAAGAGTAGGAAGCCATGAAACGTGCCCCAAATTTGTCCCATCCGCCTTTCCAACACGCGTCCTCGATTGCCAAAATCCAAGCGCCCCCAAACTGAAGGTGAACGTCGGCGGAATTGAGGATTGTTACGTAGCGTTGAGCTACGTTTGGGGAGAAGATCAACCACAAAGAACCGTAAAGGCGAATGTAGAGAAGTACATCAGCCGTGGCCTTGACATGGATGTCACCCCTCAGACAATCAAAGACGCCATACGTGTAACATGTGAGCTACACGTTCGCTACCTCTGGATTGATACATATTGTATCATCCAAGACAGCCCGGAGGACAAAGCGCGGGAGATTGGAAACATGCGTCGCATATACCAGAACGCCTATTTCACCATAATCGCTGCCAAAACACCCAAGGTCAGCTTGGGATTCTTGCAAGATTGCCCTCCTCCGTTCCCGACGTACCGTGTTCCTTTTTACTGCCCCGATGGGGCGTTAGGCACCATGACTCTGGCGCCCCGCGCCATGTACAACCTGTACGATGCTAATCAAGAGCCTATAAACACTCGAGGCTGGTGTTTTCAGGAATACATTCTCGCACCCCGAGCATTTATATACGCATCACACACCATACAATATCTATGTCAGCGTGGTCTTATCGACGTTGGAAATGACTCATTCCCGGACAGAATGGCAGGAATGGACAGACTCCCACCTCGTTTTTTCAACCGGGACAATGACACCTATCATGATCCCAATATCTTGACGCCCGCACAGCTGCGAGAATTGACAAAGCTCTGGCATAGAATTCTGCAATTTTACACTCCACGCGGACTCTCGGCTCCCGAAGACAAGTTGAACGCGATATCAGGAGTTGCGGACGAATTCCATCGCGTGCTGAATAGCCGGTATATTGCGGGTATGTGGGAGCATCACCTACTGGGTGATTTGTTATGGACAAGATCTAGCGAAGAAGCACTTCCGGGGCCAAGCATCTATCGCGCCCCCTCATGGTCATGGGCTGCCGCCAACGGTGTTATCTATAATCCAGGCCCTGTCGTAGAGCCTGACGAAGCATATCATTGTGTCATACTAGACTGTAAAGTTGAGCTTGCAAACGAACACTCACTCTTTGGAGAGCTGAGTAGAGGATACCTGAAGCTGCGAGCACGGATGAAACAAACGATATGGAATTCGTCGAGAGGTCTTCTGTACGAGCCAGCCGCTGATGGAAAGTTAACTGTTGTCGGCGGGGGTTATCCAGATAGGCAGGAGGGCAGTGAAGGTTCAGAGAATGTTTGGGCGTTGCCTATGGTGCTTACGGTTCCTAAGCCATCGGTCTTTTCCCGTTCGCGTGAAGAGGGAAACACGATGAGGGGGATGCTTTTGAAGGTCGCTGAGACGAAGCCTGATTGTTATCGTCGGGTTGGTCTCTTTCGTTGTACGATGCAAGGATCGATAGAGGAAGGATTCGAAAACTCTGCCGAACAGATCATTACTATTATTTGATATTTCCGAAGCAAATATCCGGCATATGCATGATATACCGTTCACTTGCCACCTGCAGTGACTGCTGCGCGGATTCAAATACTATCGGATGGATCTCTTCACGTTAATGTCCAGCCCCTGACGGTCCAAAGCAACCCTACAGAGAGATATGGATGATCTAGAACTCACTTATTCCCTTTATGAGGTGCTCCTACTGTTCATGAAGACGCCTTTCTGGGAACACGGTTGGCGCCTGAAATTAAAGAGAGACTATACTTTCTGTATTTCCGTGAAATGCATCAAATTACTACACTCACTAGTCGTTACCGTCTCTGCTAGAAGAATAAGAAGTCTGAGAGAGCATCTTTGACTGGCCCGTATCAATGAGAGACAGAAATTGTTGGGCGGTCGCGAAATCAATTTACGAGACCAGAAGCTTTAAGGGTGTCCCACAGAAGGAGAAGCAAGAATTTTGCAACATCAACAATGCGGTGATGGCATGAGCATACAAAAACCACAGGCCAAATACAAGCACAGCAGTGCATGAGCTCTTTGCATGGCCTCGAATCGAGTACAGCCAATACAGACCTATCTAGTCGTCAAATGTAATTCTAGTGGGGCCTGGAGCAGCTGGCACATCGTCTCTAAAGAAGGCACCATATACGCTATGGGTCTTCTTTTTGATCGTCATGGGGAACTTCTTGAGACCTTCCTCCTCGAAACCGCTCTCTCTTAGGACGCGTGCCAATTCTCCTGCTAGCGCGCGTTCGTGGTTGTCACCTGTGAAAAACGTTATGGATTTGCCGCTCTTTCCACCGCGACCTACACCACCAGCCAAGCGTGAGACATCGAGCCAACATGTTAGGCCTGCACTTACCTGTTCGGCCAATCCGGTGGATATAATCTTCGATAGTGAGCGGGAAACTGTAATTGATAACCGCTACGACATTAGGTATATCCAGACCTCGCGCAGCCACATCTGTGGCGACGAGCAGACTTGTTGTCCCCGTCTTGAAGTTCTGTAGAGTATCCATGCGGGCAGACTGCGACATGTCGCCGTGCAGACCACCGACGGAATAACCTTTGCTGCGCAGCATGCTCTCTACGCGGGAAGCCTCTTTCTTGTATAGCACGAAAACGAGGATACGAGTGTCTTCGGGCGAAGCCGACTTCTTATGTGACAATGCACGAAGGTGATTGAGTAACCGTGAGCTGCACGTCACATTAGTGTTAAGTAATGATGAAAGTTCCACAGCCTATTTCACCCACTCCTTGGACCGTGCATCATCGAAAACCTCAACAGCTGACAGACGTGAATTCCCTATTGCGGCATCCGAAAATCATCCTCAAGCTTACCTTGTTCAACTCGGCTATTTGCTGTCAGATCATCGCTGCCGACTGTAACACGAACCGGGTTGCGCTGGAACGAGGCTGCTAATCTTCGAACAGAATCTGGCCATGTAGCACTGACTAAAATTTTTCACGACATAAGCGTTGGACAAGTAAATATGCGGGACGTCACTTGCACATAAGAGTCTGACGCTCCGCGCCTTGCTTTGTGAAGCCGATAATTGAACGAATGTCGTTCTCGAAACCTCGGTCGAGCATTCGATCGGCCTCGTCAAGAACGAGATATGTCACCCTATTCCATTGATGTGAGCAATGCGGTCACGATCATGTTGTAAGACCTTGTTACTGACCGACCAAGGTCGCAGGCACCGTCATTCACCAAATCCAATATCCGACCAGGAGTCCCGACGATTACTCTCGTCGTCTTCCCGTCATTATTTGCGTTCTTGAGGGCCTTGATCTGTGGCCCCTTATCCACGCCACCAAAGACGGCGACGCTAGCAATTCCGAAGGGTTCTCCCAGTGCAGACAGCGTGTCGTGTGTTTGCAAGGCGAGCTCGCGTGTAGGTGCCACCACAAGCACGGAGACCGTTGTTTCCTTTGATTTCTTGCCTTTAGAAGATGACGAGATGAGGCGGGTGAGCGCAGGTAGTCCAAATGCCAAAGTCTTGCCACTATGAAGTTAACGTAAGACTCGATCAACGACACCGACAGATATAACTCGCCTGCCCGTCTCGGCGATGCCGACTACATCCCGACCTTCCAGCGCAGGGGGCCAGGAACATGCCTGTATAGGTGTAGGTTCTTTGAAATCCTTGAACGCTGACTGCAACTGCGGCGGAATGTCCAACTGGTCGAAGGACAGTACTGGTGTCACTTCACCCGAACCAGGAGGTGTGTGTATCGTCACAGAATGCTTTGAGAGATATGCACCTACGTCAGATAAGGACGGTACACTAGTTCGAAGCGTGCTTGATGCCATCACAACTTGTTCTGGCAGAACCACGTCAGTGGGGGC